TGTGTGTGTGTGTGTGTGTGTGTGTGTGTGTGTGTGTGTGTGTGTGTAGGACAGGGCAGTAGACATGCAGCAGTGTGTAGGCCAGCAGTGCCTGTTAATGGAGGAACAGCTGATGATACAACAACAGCAGATGGAGGAGGACCAGAGGTGGCTGGAGCAGGAGGAAAGGCTGCTGGTAACACACACAGCACACACATTGGAAAACACACTCGCAGATACAGCTAATCAGTAAATATAACTTCAGATTTCATTTCATACACTGTTCCCTATTAGTGGCTTGATATTGCCACTATAACATTTTATACATAAAGGTTTTTCAGAGGCAGCTAAACAATGGTTTGCTGATGTGTTTCTGCCAGTTAAACTTAAGAACATTTTGATTTTTTTAATGTTCCTTCAAATAAAATGTAAGACCAGTTTCATTCTAAACATTATAAAACAATGGAGTGTACATATGTCTCTGCATCACCAGGAAAATGTTACTGCAGAAAAGTGGAACGTAGAAAAATAGCTCCATTTTAAGACACCCGAGTGCCTTTATTGTGTGAGTTTGTTACGCATGGTACAGTGCTTTATTGTTATCCGTAATGCAAAGCTTACTTAGTTGCCATCTTTGACTTGTCAGTTGTGTTGTGAAAGTATTTTTATTTGGTTCCATGATGCATGTCGTCGTGTTTTTGTAAATTTGTTGGAGGACTGTGTTCTATGTTTAGTTTTTTTACTCGATCGATTGGATATGATCAGAGCGCTTGTTATGCACACGACCTTAGTCTCTAAATTGGAGCATTACATTACTATTGGAGCCATAGCATCTCAATAATTTGTGACCAGAGAGCAAATACAGTTGGTTTTGCCGTTACCAAAGACAAAAAACGTTTTAAATTGGATGCGATTCTCAACCCAATTGACTTAAGCTCTAGATAGCATTTTTCCAGTGGTATATACAAAAATATGTACAAAAGAAAAATTCAGCTTTGTGGCTCAGTCACTGATCTTCTGGGATACATACCCCCCCAAAAACGTGTATTGTATGTCTTATTCATACTTTCTATTGAGAAATTCAACTCTCCTGCTTATTTTTAGCAGTGGAGCAGCAACTGGTTGTGAGTTATCAGTAAATTCATTACTATTCTAGTAAAGATCTCACACTCAAAGATAAATGAACGCAGTGTTTGTTGATGTCTGATAGAGCTAGTGCAAAAATGAATACATGTGATGGAGACCCTCTGACACAAAGACGAGAGAGGAGGAACGTTTCATGCAGCATGCATATATCTGGGAACACTGATTGAAGGAGCTGTCTGGGGTTTTTACCCCAGACAGCTCCTTCACACACAGACTGTGTGTGTGTGTGTGAGAGTGTGTGTGAGAGTGTGTGTGAGAGAGAGAGAGAGAGAGAGAGAGAGAGAGAGAGAGAGAGAGAGAGGGAGGCAGGTGTGGCCTGTGTGAATTCCAGGCTAATGATAGGCTTAGACAATCTGACAGCCCAGTCAACAGTCTGTCTCTGACCCACAACCACTGACTGACAACACACAAGATTACTGAAAAGCTGGGAAAGGCGTATATTTACGTGTGTGTGCGTGTTGGAGACTGGCTGTTTTTTAACACTGTCACTTCAGGGAGGGGCGAGAACGAGGGGGGAGAAAGGGAGGACAAATCAGGTTTGGGAGAGAAGGGTGGACGTGCTCTCACACTGACGGCTCTTTGGCAGTGTGCTCCATCCCTCCTCCTCCTCTCCTTCCCTCTCTCCATGCGTCAGAGTCGGATATAAGTGCGCTGGAGGTAGGAAGCTGGAGCTGAATCGGGAATTCTTGTCCTGATGAAACTGCTGCAACAGAGTAGTAGACAGACAGGCAGGCAGACGGAGCTATAGAGAGAGAGATACAATAAGATCAGAACCAGATAGCAACTCAGACAAAACACCTCAAACAACTTGGACTCAAACGATTCATCAGACAACTTTGATGAACTCAAAGGCAATGCTGGTCTTCAAGTCCTGTCTTGGAAAACTGGTAGGCACGGATGGGTGTGAGGGTTGATTGTGTGAGGTTTTATTATGCCGTCGCGGTTGCTGCAGTGTGATTCGGGGGTTAAATGTCAATCTGAAAAGTTGTGCCTCTATTTAAAAAAAGTTATTTTGTGTGTAGGAAAACAAGTCCTGCACTTGTGTATCCTGCAGCTTTGTACAATATGTTCCATGCAGGGAGACTGGATGTGTGCGTTGATTTAAAAAAAAAAAAAAAAGAAATTGTGTAGCTTCACTGCTATGATTCACTCATTCATTTCCTCATTTACATAATCATCGTAAGAGTTATGATTAAACTTGGATTTTGGAGAGTCAGAGTCACTTGCACAGGGTATAAACTGCCCTTTATTTACTAATTACAGAGTGCTTATTGCCATAAAGTAAAATGGCTGTATATGGCAGTCCTTTGATGGTAAAACATGTTTCTCTAAACCCGCAACCCAGTAAATCAGTAGATTTACTGGTTTAAGTGACTGAGTTTGCACCAGTCTTACGACGGCATGTGATTTACCCAGAGCTGATAGGATGCCATGAAAGGGTATATACAATATATATATATATATATATATATATATATATATATATATATATATATTATTTATATACTATAAAGTACTGAATGGAGATATCATTTTTATGTTTATGTGTGTGTATTTAGAAACCAGACTCTAGAAGTTCTAGAGGGAGTCTGGACAGAGAAGACGGTGGACTCCAACCACCGGTAAGTTACTTTCTGCAGCTGTTTTCTGTCTCCATCCATCTCACCGTTTGTTGGTGATATTCATACATGCAGCAGGACAACGGCAGTGGTTCATAGGCTCATTCGTAAAGAAATACATTTTGACCAAAGGGAGTTGAGGTATTTCTCCTGAATGAACTGTACTTCACATAACTTTCACTCTCAAAATCACAACCATCTCCCACTCCCACCGCATCAAAAAGGGAAGTCGTTTTTCTGAACCGTTTGTGTTTTTAGGAGAGGATGCTGTCCGATGAAGACAAATGTTGACGGAGGTTCACATTCTTGGTTGGACTCGCTGCAATTGGCTGCAGCATGTGTTTGTTTTGATTAGAGCTGAGGGCATTGATCCAGGGACAGGAAGTGACCTGTCAGAGGTTGGTTCAGCGACGAGATGTCGATGGGTTCCCACAACATCGCCAGTTATTAATAGAGCACTGTACCGAGAAAAGAAGCAGCCATCTTTATTCTTCGGTCTGTCCCAGTGGTACTCGCAGTAACTCAGCATGCTGGTGGTTTGTAGTTTACTCTAGTCTGTCCATTGATAACACACCTGAAAGTACGTGTGTCGCTTTAACAGGATGATGTTTTAGACATGTCTTGTGGTTGCTGATGTAACATGAATGTCCTTAAAGTCGTATTTCTCAATTGTAGAGCTGAAACGGTTAGTTGAATAGTCTATTAATGATTCGTCATGAAGTCAATGCTAAGTGTACCCATGTTTATAGGTTTTAGTCTCCTGACATTTTAGAGAGCCAATGATTAATTGTTTACTCAAGAACGTAATAATCTCACAATAAGGAAAATATTCATTAGCTATCACCACAGTCACATGGTGTGCAACAATATCAGTGTTTTTGAAAGAAGAAATCCTTTCTTTGTTTTTCACTTTTGTGAACATAACAGAGTTAACCGCATCCTTCTTCTTAATTGAGCACTGGGGTGTAACTGAAACGATTTACAGCCGCAGATGCACATTTCCACTCGCACCACAGAGTGGTGGTTACATGCAGTTGAGACGTCTAAAATAGTTTCACACAGGAGGTATTGAAAGGTAACTTCATCGCTTGTTCCTTCCTGTAATTTTGTTTTTAAGGGAAACTGGAGTCGTTGTGTTTTTCTCGAAGCATTTCTGTGATTAAGTTTCTTCCCCTCAATCTCAATTATGTTTCATTCTTGATGCCAGCAGAAGTTGTTTTAGCAGTCTGAAGTCGCCATGGGCCATATATTTCTGTCTCTGTAATTCATCTCTCTGCTTGTCCTCCTCCTCCCGTTGAATGGCTGTGGTTTGTGGTTTTAAAAGCTCCCGTGTGTGTGTGTGTGTGTGTGTGTCTGTGTGTGTGTGTGTGTGTGTGTGTGTGTGTGTGTGTGTGTGTTGCTGTAGTAGAGTATTTTGGGGTGTTGGTGGTTGTCAGACCACAACACTCTGATGGCTTTCAAAGCCCTCTGTTCTGTTTTCTCACACAGAAACAAAACAGAGATTCAGTAATGGTACAACAAAGTAAATATATAACATGTCTGGCACCACAAGAGAGTTTCGTGGCATCATTTTATACTCACACAACCATCAAATCTTAAAGACATGCTGCAGGGTTTTATCTGGTTTTCAAAGGGTAGCACTAACAAAGGAAATGTTTTTTCAGGACAGAGTATTTTTTTTAACATCGGCACCACAGTGCTAGACCACACGCCTCAGAAAACAGAAAGAAATTGAGATGCCCTGTCGTGTGACAAGTAAATTAAATGGGGTTCTTCAGAACCCGCCGGTGGTTTTTACCTGGGAAGTTCCAATTTCATGTGAAGCTTCTGATTACATGTGTGACTGAGCACTGGCTAACCCAGTGTTTTGTTGTTGTGTTTGTTTGTGCAGACAGGAAACCAGCACATATACCAGCCTGTTGGAAAACCAGGTAATAGACAGGCCTGTAACAGTCTGTAATTACATACAACCGCTATTGTTTTAATCTGTCCTCTTTCTGTCTTTCTTAATCTCCCAAAGTATGCAGTTCACACATACTGTATACCATTACATAGCTCTGTCTCAGGGTGAGATAGAGCTATGTACTCACCCTGTGTATACAGACGCTGTCTCTCCCACTACCAGCAGATTGAGTGTCAGTCTGTGTTCGTCACTGTCTGCTTGCAGAGTTGACGGTCTGATGCCACAATGGGACAGATCTGATTGTGAACTCTGCAGCCAGTGAGCAAACTACACTGTGTTCATATGGACTCAGACTGCAGGTCAAACTCAATATGTTGTGTGCTCGAAGTGTGAATATGCTCACCGTGCAGGAAGCCGAATACAGACGAAACAGAAAAACAATCGCCTTAAAATAGTTTTACATTTGGGAGATTTTGAGGGACAGTTTACAGTTTTTTGTCATCGCACTTCTGTTTTCATCATTGAAGTGTTTATTGTCATGTTGAGCTGAAACAGTTAGCTGATTAGTCAATCGAGAGATAATTGATTGGCAACATTTCTTTAAATAATGGAGTCATTGTTTCAGATGTTAAATAAAAACGGCTTCTCAAATTCAAGGATTTAAGAAGTGTCTGAGTTTTATATCATTTTGATTTGATTTAGGATTTCAGACTTTAATGATGTCACTTTTTTCATAGACCTCTATTAATCAATAATCTTTAGCTGGAGCGCCACACTGATGACGATACTGATTTGAACTATCACATCATTTGCTGTGGTACTTTGGTCCCTCAGCAAGAGAAGAATGAAGGATGTAAAAGAACAATTTGTTCAGAACTTGTATGCATGAGACTGTAAAACTACGAGGAGAAATCATTTTCACTTTTATGTGTTGTTTCCTGCAGAGCATGCAGCGCCCCCAAAGAAGCCCCCTCGACCTGGAGCCCAGGGCCAAGTGGGCAGTCTGTCCTGTCTAAATACGGGAGACAGTTACAACGATGGAGTGAAGGTGCAAACACTCGTACAGTAACACACACAAACACGCATAAAAGACTTGCACACAAGCATGCTAATGCATAATAATACAGAGAAAAACCTGTACACACACAGACAAGGATACATTTACTAAATATACGGGTTGCATGTTTTCAATGCTTTAATATTTTCCTTTTATCTTCTTTTCCTGTGGCTACTCCCTCTCCTCCTCCTCCTCCTCTTCCTCCTGCACTCTGCCTTACTGTCGACCTCTAGCCCTGGCGGGTAAGCAGCACACTGTCTGTGTGTGTTTACTGTGCGTCTTGTCTGCTAGTCGATCTCACCCAGATTCTTTTGATTCCTTCATCCAATCAGTTCTTCTATTTCTCTGTCCAACAAATCAAATTATGCATGTTTTAATATCAACATAAAACACATTTATTTCAACCTTCTGTTCCCTTTGTGTAGATACCAGTCAGTTTTCTAGTTTCTAGTCTGCACAAAACTAACATCCAAATCTTCATAGTTGTTTGCTGTCTTATACTAACAGTATGTATGTACCCCTCTCTCACACTGGACACTATTTTACTTTAACTACACTAGAAAACAACTAATGAAGCAGTGTTCAAGGCTTGAAGAGGGATCCCTCCTTTGTTAACCCAGTCTGACTTTATTTATTTTTAATTATATAAATTTATACCAATATGTTACTGCCATCTAGTGGCCACAATAGAGAGCTACACGTAACATTTTGTGTCATAGATCATTTACTCATTAATCTACTCATTTTATTTTTTTATAAGTTGACGGTGCTCAGCAGTTGTGTTCTCTTCTGTTCGTCTTAAACTGTTTTATCTACTCGGCTATTTAAAAAGCAGTGTGTTGTATGTTTTACTTTCTACCTCTAGATGTGCTGAGGGTCAGAAAAGCATGTTTCATGTACGTCTCTATAATCATGCAGGATATATATATATATTTTTTTTTTTTCATCAACATAGTCTCAACTCGTTCTTTTGTGTGGCGTGCCGGCCGGGCGTCACCCGGGTCTCATTCAGTCTGCCAGTCACTCATTGCTTCTTTTTTTTTTTTTGTGCTCTCATCATTCAGCTGCAGCCCCAAGAGATAAGCCCGCCCCCCACGGCCAATCTGGACCGCTCCAACGACAAGGTGTACGAGAACGTGACGGGATTGGTCAAAGCCGTGATCGAGATGTCGAGCAAGATTCAACCGGCTCCTCCAGAGGAATACGTTCCCATGGTCAAGGTATCCGAGGCTCAGTTATCCTCTCTTGAGCTGCAAACCTTGACCTTTAAAACTTGAAAGCATCACGCTGATTACTGCTGTTCTATTTAGCACAGCTCTTCAGAGGGCTGAATTTAAATACTCCTTTCACATGAATCATTTCTGTTAACCAGACTCCACACATCTGACCTTTTATTCTCACTCGATGTTGCTATTAAATGTAGCTATTTAGTAATTGAAGTCCTCACATGAGGGCCTTTGTCTTATACTTTTATCTTTTATTTCTCCACACTGATTATATCTTTCTGTGTAGGAAAAATTACTTAATTGGTGTTTTCTAAATCACTGTATGATTTATTTATTTCTATAAGTCTACATGTACAGTATTTTTTTCACCGTAATGTTAATTATTCCCTAATTTCCTATTTGTTTTGTATAATTCTGATGCTAATCTGAGTAATACGGTGTGCGTGTTTCAGGACGTGGGTCTGGCGTTGAGGACGTTATTGGCCACAGTGGATGAGACTCTACCACAACTTCCAGCCAGTACACACAGAGAGGTAAAATCACACACTTGTGTGTGTTTTTATTATCTATTTTGAGTCGTGTGAAGTCAATTATGTTTCCTTATTTTCATTGAATGTTGATAAAGGATTTATATTCACACTAGCATCCGTTGACGTTGGTATTTTATCCTACCAGATCGATATTTAACACTCTGGTTTCCTTCAACAGATCGAGATGGCACAGAAACTTCTGAACTCTGACTTGGCCGAGCTGATTGGGAAGATGAAGTTAGCCCAACAATATGTGATGACCAGGTATGTTCAAATACTAACATTACAATATAGAAAGAATAGTTTTCATTGACTTACAGTGCCTTACTTTTGGAAGACATCATGACGTTTTCGTCTAATAAACACCTACATTCTTACCTTGTATTTTATTACAGTTTATTTTATATATTTAGTGGGTGCAGTCAATCACAGGGCACATTATCATTCCTTTTAAGGACACTAACTAAAATATTTAATTTAAAGACAAAGAAATAATATTTAGTCAGTCAAAAGTCAAAAGAGTAACAAACAGAGTGTCTTATTTGATGCTGTCACAGGGGGGCGCCAAAGTCAGAGATCTTAAAATTGTACAAATAGAGGCTTTGATATTGTACTACTCGTCTCACTCGCTCATCTACCACTAGTACCAATCTGTATGCGTGATGCGGTGTGCATGTTTCTCGCTTTGTCCCAGTCTCCAGCAGGACTATAAGAAGCAGATGTTGACGGCGGCTCACGCTCTCGCAGTTGATGCCAAAAACCTTCTGGATGTCATCGACCAATCGCGGCTCAAGATGATGTCCCAGTCCCGCCCACACTAGCCCCGCGGACGGCTGAGCTGACCAACGGGAAACTGGTCTTTTATCATCACTTTGGTTACCGTTTAGCAATGGAGAATCATGACATGTGAGAGTTGTGTAAGCTGACTGCTTTACATCAAAGGAGAAAAACAACGACAACAGCCTGTGAAGAATCGTTAGATGTCGTATCCTTTGGAAGCCGAGGACGCCTCTCCACCACTGTGACTTTCCTAATACAAGAACAGAGCAAAAACACTTCCTGAATCGAGGACCTGGCAGCTTCTCTCTCTTTGGCCTGTAATATAATGACGAGAGGAGGAAAGTCAAAGAGGAAGTGTTGGGATTTTTAGAATATGGGTCTAGACCTCAGATGAGCCGGATTCCTGAGATCCCGGGATTAAAAGGTTTTAAAACCCTCCGAGAGAAACACTATCATGGGTGTGATTAGATCTGGAACTGTCGACATCAGGTGGATTTGTCTTATCGGGATAACACTCTTAAGCAAAGCCATCAGAACCTGATCAGACTGTGTTTGATCTGCAACATATCGGCATGAAAGTTCACTGTGGAAATGGACTCAGACGTCAGCCAGCAGCCATCATCAATACATTTGTTGATATTATGTGTCGTGACCCCTGGATGTGAACTTAATCCCCACATCCCCATGGATTCCTTTGAATGGGCAGATCAAACCACATGTTATCTGTTCAGCTCTGGTCACGTGCGTTGCTTTGATTGGATTCTTCAGCAAGGACAGTCACAGTAAAGACGGCGTTGGTTTGAAGAAGCAGCCTCTTCCATCCATTCCCGTCTTTCCTCCGTCTCACCGTGTTTTATTTATAGACTCAGAAATTGCAGAGGAGGAGAAGGAGGGAGAGACGGAGGGAGAGACGGGTATTAAAACTGGAGGACAGTCTAGCACCGGTCTGCTGCCTGAAGAAAGAACACGCCTTTTTTTTCTCTATTTCACACACTTTTCTTTTGTTTTCCCTCTTCCTGTCCTTCGTGAAGTCTTCCTCAACTCCTCTCTGAGCCAGTTTTAAAGACTCCAAATGTGAAGAATCCAACTCTGTCTGGGTAAACACCGCAGACAGGAAACTCCCTTCTCTTTTTAGTTAACCCTTTTATCGGCTGGCTCCATGTTTCTTTGTGTTGGTTCAGCAGTCACAATCTTCTTCCTCTTTACTGAACACTTAGAATACAAGCAGATATTCAATCCCAGCACTGACTCTGATGAGCAAAAACAAAACAAAACAAACGAAGGTGGGTTTTGAGGATTTACTTGGTGTAACTGGATATTTCCTGTTTGTCCCAGAGGAAGAGAAGGACATCATGTCTCAGACTGGTCACTGAGCTTGACTGAGCCTATTTCTGTGAGGACAGTGTCTCGTCTCCTTTCTTTCTCCTCACCTACAGTCCTGATAGCGTTCAGTTGTTCCTCATACAAGACTGGTGTCACGCCTTTAACTGTCCCCTCACCCACCGGTGTCACAAAGTGAATTTACTGGGGAGACAAACAAACCTCACAACTGGAACCTCTGTGCTTTGAGTCCCATTTTTTGTCAGGTGTAACTCTTTAAATATGTCCCTCCAACCAACAGTCCCCAGGGACACACACACACACACACACACACACACACGTGGAGCCACATGACTGGAGCTTGTCCTGCAGACACAAAACACTGAAAATACAGCAGATCACACGTGTCTTTGTTGATAGTGACCCCACATGGAGTATGACATACTGCTATATGAAATATACTGGTGACTGTACTAGTATAGCATGATATACAGGTATGGAGAAGAGCATATTTGCACTGCACCAAAAAAAACAAACCTAACTTTTTTTAACCCTATTTAACCCAGATTTGATTTCCAGGTTTAGCCAGCAATGAACTTTCAAATATCTGGGTTTTATAGGGATTAAAAAAATGTAAAAAACAATCTATTTTATCTTGTCGTTGTGTAAATCGGCTCATGTTGGTATATTGTAAGCTATACTGGTGTGAATCACTGGTGAATTGTACAGAACTAGTACTAGTAAACACTGGTTTTTATTTTGTCTTCTGGGCTAAGTCAGCCATCTTGTCAAATAGGAGGAGAAAAAAATGAAATAAAAAAAATGACGAAAAGGAAATCAGGCTGTCAACATCTTTTTTTTATCCCTGATAGAGATTTATTTGAAAGCATTACATTTCAGGTTTTATATTATCAAGAGGTTTTATATTATGTTAATGTTGGCTGTGGTCAATTTTATACCTCATTTTAATTTATTTTCATCAAGTATGATATTTAAGTTGTACAGGGAGTAGTTCCTCCTCTAAAGTAATGTCTCTTGTCTTCAAAACATCAACTTCAAAGGAGTTACACAGATTCAAATCCACTGTAAAATCCACTGTTTTCCTGGTTTCAACGTCTTAATGTTGTATCCGGAATAGAACTTATTTTTTCATCTTTCAACCAAAGATGAGACTGCATCCCCTGATTGTGTCTGCAGGAGGATTTAAGAGGCAGGTCATACTGCTGCTTAGATTATGATACACAGACCATCTTAAGTGGTTTCAGGCTGTAGTTTGGACAATCCATTAGAATAAGTAAGCATAGTACAGCATGAATCGGATAGTGTTCAAGTTCCTGAGATTTCTCAGGAAGTATAAGTATTAGAACATTGCTGAAAAACTGCATTCAGTGATAGTCAAAGCCATAATACATTATCTATGACGGCTTTTTAAATATAACGATCATCACATCATCACCACAGGGAGGTCAGGGTCCTGTCAACATATTTAATGTTATACTTGTGTACGGTATTGATAAGCATTACATGTGTTTAAAGCACAATCTCAACATAATTTAAGAGCTAATCTGTTTCAACATGATATTGCATAACATTACAGTCTATTGAGACAGATTTAGAGACATTCATCAAAACACTTTTCTGTACACAGCCGCGGTGTAGCTCCCACAGCTTTTGACAGCACAAACCTCAGTGTGACAGCAGTAATAATACACCTGCAGTCAAAAACAGCAGTACCGTGTGTGTGTGAATGGACTCGGCGCCACTGAAGTTACACAAGTTAAAGGTGTTGCAGCAGTTGGCAGTGTTTCCGTTTCCGTTTGAGTCGACTGAGGAGGCCGCGGCAGCTCCTAAGCACGTGGCCTCACTGGAACACGACTTTTTAATAACTTTGTCAGCGCCTGAACAACACACACACACACACACACACAAACGGCAGGGTATTGGAGTGAGTCATTAAGTTAAATACTGTGTTTTGCCACATTTTCAGAGGCTGTAAAGTTTAAAGATCCTCCAATAAAACAACAAGGCCTATTTTAGAGATACTTTTAGATTCAAAAAGACATTTTATAGATACTGGATTCTAAAAAATCTGCAGTTCTTTACATTACTGACCAGGGATATGACCTGATATTGTGTTATCATTAATACCTAAAACGTCGACGGTAGTCATGCATATGTCCAGAGGCGCCTGACATTCCTCGGTGGTGTTGCTGCTGTTGCATATGTCATTGGTGGCAGAAGGACCGCACACGTAGCAAACCAGTGACAGCCCTGCAGAGATGAGGGACAAGGCAAAACAACTGAGAAGAAGATTTGAAGTAAGTTTAAAGATGTGAGATAAGCCAGTGCACAATATAAAGTACACAACATATAGTAAGTCCGTTGATGGAAGTTCCATGAAGATCCGTTGGTTCCTGTACGGAGGACTAAGCCAAGAGAGATTCATCACATCAGAGTTTTGATGATTTTGACATTTTATAGAAGTTATTAGGGGAAAAACCTGATCTGTTCTAATACAGTCTTTCCCTTCATTTATTTATTCACAGTCACTCATAAGTCATGATTATTGGTAGTCACAATTGTTTTGAATTTAGATTTTTCACAGGATGTGAGAATCTTAATGAATTTGGGACTAAGCTCTCACTGAGTTGTCAGTGTCTGCTTGAGAACATATTTTGAGAAATAACTTGTTTTTGCTGTCGTTGTGACATAAATGCAGATAATTCTGAGAATGATGCACAAACAAATGAAGACAGGGTTGCTCCTTCTCGAACAAGCATCGGGAGTCAAAATGAGGCTCCTGATTGTCTGCTCCTGGATTAAAGCCCCAAATTAAAATGCTAAATCTATGGCAGACTGGGAATTATTAGACATTTTCAGTCTGACTATAGAGGAAGAACATTATATAACTACATAAATGTGTTTGATACACCACAGTGTCGCATATAAAAATTCCCCAAACTGGAAAGACAGCTACTCCCAAAGTCAAAACTTGTCCGGCTTGCTTATTTAATTATAAGTATTGAAAAGCAGGCTGCATACGGTTCCTCCTATTCAGGTTATTGTTCTGCTCCCTTTTGTCACAGTGGTGATGCATCACAGTAAAAAAAAATGCACATCTAATATTTAAAATGAACCCAGATTTATTCTGACGGCTAGAAACCCAAAGACTAAAATTAGACAGACCATCGCTAAAACATTTCTTATTTCTGTAGAGCCCATTTTTACATATCTTGAATTAAACTTTTATGTTAGTTACATATTTCCAATACTGTTACAGCCACTGGAACACATGGTGAGGTCTTAGAGACATGCCTAACCATCTGACACAAGTTAATTATTAATCAATTGTTAAATAAATAAGAAATAGAAAAACCAGCAATCTGTCACAGTGCAAAACATGCACTGATACACACTGATCTCCCTCAGCAACAAAGCAACCCTGATCTCTCATCTTATGTTCATTCTTTGATTATTTTGGATAAATCTGTCATATTCTGTTCACTTACTGATATTATTATTATTATATCTATTCTGCACAATCAAAACAAGGTGTGTGTACTTTGTGTCAGAACGTCTTGAGATTGCCACCAGAAACAAACTGTTAACAAATGAAGATTTAACCATGGTTAGTTTAACTGAACTCCTATTGAACTCACATTTGTCATTCTAGATCACAACTAAGACAGACACAAGGAAGGGAGCAGTGATTTTAAACTCTCTGATGTTTTTAGCAACCCTTAAACTGAAGCCTTTACTGAATCCCCTACAAGATTTTTACACAACGTCACTGCTTCTAAGCGCCTAATGTCCTGCTTATTATTAACTTACATACCTGGTGGGACGAGGATGGAGAGGAGCACGAGACCGAGCAGCATCTTCATGTCAGGTGTCACAGGAGTGTCTGTTCTCCACCTGAACCTGAACCTCTGCTTTCAAACCTGGTGTGCCCTGCCCTGTGAGCATATGACATTCCAAGATCTCGCTATGGTTTCATAGATACTTGTCTTTTATTTATCTCCTGCCAATCGCAACCACAGTGTGGCTGATTGGGTTAGACGGCCTTACACTGAAACATTGTGTGTCTGACAAATATTTGTTGTGTCATGACTCAGTATGTGCAGCTCAACCTGTGCTGCAGGGCTTCTTCAAGCCTTGTTGACTTTCTTTATATATATATATATATATATATACTTATATCTAATAATAACCACCCTGAGGACATCTAGTAGGAGAGAGTACAGGAATAACAAAAACAGGAATGACATTTTGACATTAAAGTGGTTATGATCAATGTCTTTTTATAGCAATGATCAAATGTAAAAAGGGTTGAGTGATAAACCTACGTAAAATGATCACCTGAATCTGCAGCTCCCCTTGGCCTTAAGGAGCTTCAGCTCATTGTTTATCTTTCCAAAAACTCCCCAATACTGTTCTGAAGTAATTTTTTCAACTTTCTAGTTGTACTCTCTCTCCTGCTGTTATTACAGACTTGTTTTGACCAGTTTTGTTTAGCCCACAAATATCTAGGTCTTACAAGAAGTGGTGTTAGTCAGGCCACTAAAACAGACAAAGCTTGTCCTGTATCTGATGTATCTGTTTGCTGACATATTAGCTCAAAATGTAGATGTAAATGCTGTGCTCACAACTTCTTTTTTGCTGCTCTCAAGTGGCCCAAAAAAAGTGTTATTGCAGGTTCACAAATATACATAAAACATTAGGATCATTATTATACATTGTACATTATTTGTGGAAATGATCTTTCGGCCCATTAGCCAATGACACATATCAAATATAAGGTTCCAGATATGTTGGTAAATGAACGTGTGATTACATTTATCAAAGTCACATCCCTCATTTTGTTCACTGCCTTCCACTGGCTCCTGGAATCACTGCAATACATTTAAAAACCTTTCATCAAACACCACCACACCCTCCCTGTCTAATAGTGAACATTGACTGTGATTCACAGATTAAACTTAAAAACAAAACAAATAAACAGCATCATGTAAAAGTTTTTCACTAGATATGTGGAATCACGTCATCCTCATATCTGTCATTCTGTCCAGTGTTAACAGAGGAATGCACCAGTACACACCCAGCCCACATGCACCGTCAACCCCAAAAACACACTTTTGGTGAATTCTCTGTCAATTCAATGTATTTCCTGACACCAATCCTGAATCTTAATGGGACACATTGAGGATTTTTGTCTCATTCTTATGTAATAAGACAATAAACACACTCACGATGCATACATAAAACTTCCTCAACAGAAACCAGACCAGCAGTTGCCATAACTATGAGTCTGTTGTTGTGTTGACTTGTCTCCTGATCGCACATGTTGATAGAAATACTGGCACGCACACATCAACGCATACACACAGACACAAACATTTCTTTTCCTGACACCTTAAAGCCAGTTACATTTTTATTTTTATTTCATAGTAATAAAAAAAACAAGCAGGTTGCATTGCCCAAACAATGAAAAATATAAATTAATTTAAAAAAATCATTTGACGTTGGTAAATTATACTTCAGCTCAAGCAGTTCAGTCAGCAAAGAATGAAAGAATTAGCGCAGAGATCAGTGTAATATGATCACAACAAACAGCTTGATAAAATAGTAACTTTACAGTGTTGTGTTTATGCTTCTGTAGAAAAATGTTTCTCATACTGTGCGATGCTGAATGAAAGGGAACAAACCAAACACTTCCAATAAACAGCTATATTGTATGTTGTAAAGTCAAAATGCATTGCAGGCACATGCCATCAGGATATTTGCAGTAAATAGTCTGGTCTCTTCTTTTATGTTAACATTGCAAAGTCAATCTTAAGAAAATAATTGCACAGTAGTACAGTGGAACTAACTCTATATGTAATACACAAGGGTGACATTAAGGATGGCAAAATACAAAAAAATACTTTATCTAATGATGTTCTGGATATGACTAACATTAAATTTACTCAACAGGTGACATGGACCTTCTACCTGCAAAACAACCGGATCAGACTCCAGCATAAGCCTTCAACACAAGTCATTTATTTATTATTTATCCTCGATGAAGAGTAACAAGTGCTTCATGTTGCTGGTCTGATCTTCTCATAACTGTCAGAGGCCATGTTGCACCTTTATGTCTATCATTACACACTTGTGCTGCAAAGCCATGCAATGTTCAAACCACAGGACATCATTTTACCTTCTACTCAGGATCACAAAGACTCCAAATAAAACAAATATGCTGCGCTGAGTTGGGGTAATTGTGCAAAATAATTTTCATTGGATGTAATAGTGCGCAACCATAAAAATGATGATGTCTTAGGTTTGAATATTTTAATTTATAGAAGCGTAAAGCTCCATAGAGCCTTTTGTGCTTTTATTAGAAGGCCGCTCCAGCTTCATGTAAGTGGCGGAACAAGCACACATTACAGAATATACTGTATGTGTATAAATCCATATTTAAAAAAAAATGTTTAAACTAAAACTTAAAGGGAAAATTGTGGTTCCAGCTTAACAGACAGCCATAAAGAGGAGAATTGAGCAAATGCACATTACGACTGCTGATATGATACTGTCGGTATTCTTCATGTGCAGCAGAGAATGTCTGTGGAGTAAAGGGGGAAGCTTCATCGATGCCAAGCAAAAAGCAGCAGCACCATGAGTGTACAGCAGTGACGAGTCAGACGCAGAACAGCTCATCTTGGGTCAGTTTGAAGCTGCTGTGGCGCACACGGCCGAGTGTCCTGCCTGAGGCTCCGTTTCACATCTTCAACGTTGTTTTTGTGTGTTTGTGCATTCATCTGTGGAAAAAAAGGGGAAGGGGAGGGAATGTGTCTTCTCCTCATTGAGTCTTTAGTTTCTTGCTTTGGGTCCCAGACTCTCGCCTCCTGGCCTTGTGGGCGTAACGCCTGTTGGAGATATGAGATGAAAGCAGGGTTATAATCACACAAATCCAGACAGAAGTTAATTGGGTGATGAACAGAAAACTGAAAACTGTCAGCAGCAGCAAAGAAGGTTTCCCAAACATCTTTACATACTGTATATTTGAAGATGAACAAGCAGGGCTGCAGTCAAGACCCACTTAAGTCAAGTCCAAAACCAGGTCCAGTTGAGTCTGAGTCAAGACCAAGTCCAAAGGTAATCAAGACCAAATCAAGAGTCTAGAGCAAATCAAGCCCTGTTCAAGAGAGCAATAGGCAATAGTGTCTTTCCAGAGCTAATATAGGGATTAAGGAGTAAGGATGGACAGAAATAACCTATCTATAAACAATATTGATCTATCTTCTAACGTCAAACTAATAATTTCATAATGTTTAGGTTTGAGGACCATTACAGGTCTCTACAGGTGCGTTAAGGAAGATTGCGTTGGGAAAATTGAATGCAACTGATCCCAAATTAGCAGCTGGGAATAACTTGAGCAGTTCTCAGTGGCCGAGCCTGAGAACCAACAATTTCGAGTCCAACAAGGCATGAGACCAAGACAAGTGCAAGACTTCAAAAAAGTGGTATTGAGACTGGACTCGGGTATTAAATCCCTGTGAGAAAAGTTGACGTAAATTCTACTTGACAAACATCTGCTTCTCAGATTCATTGTGTCTAAAAGGGTTTTGTAGTGTTATCCGATCGGGCCTCTCAACAGATACATACGGTCAAACACTGGAGTATGTTTTGTTGCATTGTGATTGTTTTACCTTCGCTGGTAGAGGTAGAGGAAGAAGAGGAGCTCATCTCTGAAGCAGGAAAGTTGATGAGAGGAGGAGAAGGATCCAGACGAGGAGAAAAAGGAGGCACAGGAGCACAGGTCTGAGATCAGCGTGTTCACTCCCTAGAGAGAGGAGAGCAAAAAGACAGAATAATGAACTCATTCACCAGCAAAGCTGTGTAGACAGAATCAAATAAAATAAACCACTGAGTTCACTGCAAAATAGAGGAGGAATTTAATACAAAGTTCCTAGAAAAGGTTTGGGAATGCAAAGATAATCTGCTCTTGAGCCGGAGAATCAGTCCCACTCACTCTGTACATCAACACTGTCCCCTGCAGGTGGCACACCGACTTCAGCTGATCCAGAGAGAGGAGTGGAGAAACACAAAGAGACAGCAGAGGACAGTTCAAACAGTAGCTTACAACACTCCAGTCATTTCATTTCCCTCAGCACTATGATCAGATCATTTGGTAATTGATACACTTAAGACGGGACACACCTTGTGGTTGATGAAGAGCTGTGGGGCCATAGACAGGAAGCCAAAGGCATACACTCCTGAGAGGAGAGGCACAGCGTCAATGTGGCACGTTGGTGGTTCATATAAAAGTAGCTTCATTAAATGAGGAAAACTGACCAGATTTCAATGAAGTACATTGAAAAACTGTGCTGTTAACAAATGAACCGATGAATCACATTGATGATTTAGTTTCACTGGGACAGGTGATGGAAGTCAACTCACCAGTCACTAGAGTGTTCACCAACCAGGAGTAGTAACTGTCAATACAATACAAATGAATGTTAATATCTAATGAAGTAGCTGCTATGTCTGTGTACATTATGAAAAGTTTAGACAATAGTTTAAAACCAAAAAAACATCTTACTTTTATTCAAGAAATACTCAGGTCTGATCTGAATCTGACTGCTTAAAACACTTCAGTACAGTAGGGGGAGATGAACCAAGATGTAACCAGGAAAGAGTTTGTTTTGAAATGTTACAAGCAGACTCCACAAACGGGACATCTGTTGGCAACATTTAAAGCTACGTGGCAAAGCTCACCTCTTTTGGCGTAAGTAGGCCAGTGAGAAAATAGCTCCGCTGATACACAGAGGATAGACCAAGTAGGACAAGTATCTGGACGCCTGGAGAGAAAACCACACACACAAAATATTAACAATCAAACAAAGCCTGCAGCAGAGTATACACTCAAGAGATTTAACGTTTGAGGAAAAGGATCATACCTGTGTGTCGTACTCCACTGTCTTTCTTTCTTCCTCATCCAGCTTAATTACCTACACAGTACCAGTAGATTAGAAAGAAATGTATTGATTATTTGCATCAGGGCTGGAAGCAACAGTCTAGCTAAGATAAAAGACAGCGAAGTTATTTCAACCACAACAAATAATACCACTCGACACGTTAAATCTACTGTGAATGGACGATGGAAGATGGTTAACTGGCACCATACTCACATGGAGCTTGGAGCTTTTCCATTGAAACTGGATCTTAAACACGGTAAACACCTTCCATACCTGGCGATATGACAGGTTACTGAGTTAAAACTCTCTGCTATGATCTTTATTTTAGCATTTCTGTTGGGAGGAGGCCGGTTGTGCTAAATACCTCGACACATGCTCCCAATCCAACAGGAAGCAGCACCAGCAGACTGGTCTCCTCTAGCAGATGGAGGAAGATCAGCAAAGTGCTGAGACTACGCCACAGAACTACAAACGGAGAGGGGAGAGACCAAAGGAGCAGTTAGTCCCTAACTTCAACCGTGTTCCAGCCACTGTGGTACGTCATTTACAGCAAAACTATAAATCTAATGTTGCCGGCAAGCCCTCCTATGTTGACTGTTCGACAAAAACGTAGCAAACTAATATAGAAAAGTCGAGCTTGCTTAATTGAATTTAATTCTTTACCTGACTTCCTGGACATTCCCGCCATGCTCTTCTTTTTTCTCCATGAGCTGAAGTCATTTTTAAGAGCCAAGAATTCACAGATGAGCTGTAGAGAACCAAAGATGTGGAGAGGAAACATATACTTTTAACTTTGCAATGCTTAACTTGCAATATGTCTGAGTTGCCATGCTATGTTACATCTAGAGACTAGGATTCATTACGTGATTACATTCATGAAATATCTACCAGCAGGTGGATTCTAATGTGTATACAGTATGGCATTGCTTGTGGTGTTGTGTAATCTTACTTGCAGAGCTGTGATGAGTGCAGTCAACACTAACAGGTAGAGGTTGGAGCCCACCAATGTTTCTTTAATTTCATCTATGTTCTCCTCTGTGAAGCCTAAATAAACACCAAGATGCAGTATCAAAGGATTTGGTTTGGTTCAATCTCCTGCCCATGTGATATGAAAAGCCAAAAGCTGAACTGTGTAGTGGGTCGTATTATACATCTGTTCTCGTATTAGCTCACCAAACTGTCGCAAGGAATAAACCACGTCCTGCAGATGCACCCAGAACCTGAACCCCCTTAAGGAGATTCCCTCGTAGGACACAGTCAGAGGGAGCTGAACAGTGCTGCTGCTGATCGCCTATGAATGTATGGATAGATAGATGTAAGGTAATTTCATTCACGGCCCAGTATTTATCAGACGAGGTCTAAACTTTGTGTGTAAACTTGTCCTACCAGGAGGTCTCTGACTCTGAAGCTGAGCTCGTTCACCAGCAGCAGAGGGAGGTAGATCATTTGTCGGCCTTCCTGAGAGCTACAAGGAGAAAAGGGAACACAGTTTAATCTAGAGACGATGGCCCGGGGCACCTTCCTTATTTACAGCCAGGTGGAGGTGAACAAATATACACATGCGTGCATTTATATAGCCAGAGACAGGATTTGTGTTTGCTTTACGATCTAGATTTGCTTAGATTTGATAAACAGTCAAACTCCCACTCACAAGTGTCTTACAGAGTCGCAATCGTGCAGCAATTCAATGTAAGTTTACCTCCCAAAGACTCTAACAGTTATTCAAATGAAATATAAAGATCACTTGCTGAAAGCTTTCCTCGCTCCAGCACTGGAGTATACTGATGAGAAGCAACAATAACGCAGGAGTCAGCAGCACTCTGACACCTGCTTTGACCTGCAGAGGGCTCATGTGACTTACACTCTCATGTAGCGCCGCACATCGCTAGGAAGCCCCGCTTTGTTGAAGGTGAAGTCCTCTGACATCACAGTGATTGACAGGTGAGGCCTCCAGTGGGATACAGTGTTCTCTGATCTGGGACTGGACCTCTAATGGAGCCACAAAAACAACGTTTTTGCAGCAAGGCCACATGTCTAAGTCTCGCTGTAAAGGTGACACAGTAATGGTGGCGGTAATATGACTGTGACGGATATTGAATTACATTTTACCTTCTGCATGTCTCGCTGGCCCTCTGTGTGTGTGGGAGTGATGTAGGTGGTGAGCTGAGCTGCGTAGTGAACTTCTCTGCTGTCCTCCAGAGGGGAAACACCGGCTTTGTGAACGTACACGACCGCAAACAGAGTGCCATTAGCCCGAGTCTGCTCTGGCAGAGAGACATTCACCTGCCTATAGAGAGAGAGGGAGAGTGAGACAATAAGTTAAAAACAGCCAGCCAGGCAGACATGCACAAATACGCTTTTGTCTCTCTTAATAAATAGATATATTGTAAAAACAAAATGGCATGCAATGGACACAGTTCCAGTTCCTGTTGTGGTCGTAAACAAGCACTGAGCAGGAAGTCTTCTGATGGATCAACAACAAGCCCACCTCTCAAATGTAGAGTGTGGGTCAAACGGGTCTATTTTCACAGCGAGGTGGAGTTGGCTGTTGTCTGGCACTAGGCAGGTGAAGACACTCATCTGGATCACACAAAAGAGAAGAAGAGGAGAGGTTCAAAGCAGTCTCCTCATGTCAGAAAAGAACTGGGTCCAAAATGACATTCTGCAGAAATAAAAAAAGGAGAATAAAAATTAACACCTGGCTGTGTCCCAAACATATGTAGACCTGCATGTTGGAATTATCTTTTAATGGTTCAGCCTGACAAACACGTCAGGCCCATGCAGCAGTGTCTTGAGCTAGATCTTACATAAATTAAGTTTTTTGGTAGGCTATACCCTTGATTGGTCCGTTTGCTCTCAAGATGAAGGAATAAAGAAACAGCGGCCTGTGCTAACCTGCAGCCGGGCTCTTGCTGTCAGGTAGGAGGTGATGCAGTGCTCGTCTGTGCTTCCATCGCAGGGCTTAGTGTTGAGGAAGCCGTACAGCAGCCAGGCGGTGTGGAGCATGTACACCACAAAGACCCCGAGCAGCATCTTACCGATGGAGCTCCTATTACCGCTGCTGTCCGCGGGCTTCGACTGACACGATGGGAACATGGCAGCTATTAATGCAACAACAACAGAAAAATTAAATTAAAAAAATGGACGTGGTCCGGGTTGAGGACGGAGCTGTTTATAATCGCATCCAGCGTCAGCACAATAGAATCCCCACGCTTCCTCCCTGCCACAGCATCCTTCCGGTTATCTGAGATGCTGATGCTGATGCCGCTCGCGCTGTTCTGTGACCACGTCTCGCGAAGCCAGAACAATCAGCCGACGCTGCAATTGTTCCACAAAAGTCCCAAAAAATAAACACGTAAACACGTAAATATTATCCACAGTAGCACCTAGCCTTTCTGCGATGTTGTCTCTGTTGTTGAGAGGAACAACTTTGCTGAGGGTCAGACAGACGGGTCACTATGAGCAGGCTGTACACACATTTCTTGTCTAAAACGTATATTTTTTAGCAGATTCCGGTATTTTCTCAGTGTATTTAAATTTAGGCCAACAAAATAGATAAAGGATCTCTATTTCACTGTCAAAATTATATTCATGGCAACGAGAGAGGGCTTCTAAATACCACTTAGATACATAAAATAGATTAGATTACATAAAATGCGTTCATGATCATTTTCTATAGGCTAAATAATTGTATAAGTTGTATTATTATATAGAAATAGAGACACAGTTGTGAAACAGCTATTCCAGTTAAGTTTTAATCAATAGACTAAATCATAAGAACACAATTGGTAGATTTATCAATACTGAGAATAATCATTAGTTGCAGTGAAACAAACTTTTGAGTTTGATAATAATGTTGATTTGTATTTCATAAATCTGTCGTTCTATCTCATCATTTTGATATCTTTTTATTTATACCATCCATATAACTTTTCATCATTTTTGTTTTAATAGTCCAAGTGATGTACCTCTCTCTCGAGAGAGAGACGATCTTTGGCAGCCGGTCCTTGTCGTCGCCGCGGTGCATTGTGGTCCCGTGCAGTGCTCTTGCTTCTTGCCCTCTTCTTGGCTACTTACTTCCATCATGCTAATTTAGACGACTATTTTGGGGACTAAACACACAACGTAACGCGTCAGTTCAGCAAATTCTGTAGTTATCAACAGGTAACTGACGTGTGTTACTTGTGTCTTCGTTTTCTGTCACGAATTTAAGCCCTGATACCAGCAGCTAACAGGTTACTAGCATTAAGTTACTAACACGCTGCAGAGCACTCCAGAAACTTAAAGATAACTAAGACCACACACAGTATGGGTAACACTACAGGAGGCTACCTGAATAATATACTTATACTGTAAGTGTTTGCTCAAACTGTCGTCCTTCTACCTGCGGATACGGACTGTCTGTCTCATAAACAACCTATGCTCCATGAACCAGATCACACAGGACTTACACACACACACACACACACACACACACATACATCTTTTATCCCAACCTGTTCTCCCTTCTACCTTTGTTTATGCAGGCTCCTGCCCTCCTTTTCTCCACCTCCTTTGCTTGCTGATGGATGTGTTGTGATCACCTTGCTGCAGTAGTGTCTGTCTATGGAGATGAAACTACACAGGGTGCTGCTAGCTGGCTGTATGAACTGCACCAGGATATATCCTCCATTAGCTGGGAACTTTTATCTAAAGCGCCTTTTCAGCTCTGTCGTTATTTCCTCCTCGAGAACGAGTGGGACACGAACCGCCATCCTCTGCAGTGCTAACAGAGTCCTCCACCCACTGAAGTGCTCTGTGCCACATGGGAATAGAAAACTGGGATTGTGCAGCAGGAGTTCAGATGCGGTCTGCGGTCAAACACTGTCGAGATGTCAACCCAGAAGATGTCATCAGTCTGCTGCAGGGAGACCGGAACACCTGCTGCAACGAGCTGCACCGTGGCCCGGTAAGAAGAGTTAGTGTGCATGCAACAGGTGACATGTTTGAGATTATGCTGCTCTTGCATAAGTCCCTTTTGACCGTCTTCCATTCGTTGATAGTTTAACATTGCTTTGTCTTGATCGCAGTACTTTATTATTATGTATTCCATACATGTCTACATTATAACCTGTCTCATAAATTGACAGGCCAGATGTTATCGACTGATGTTAGCTCCCAACAATTGCATATTTTGATTATGTTCATTGCTGTGGTCCTAGATGAAGCATGTTGCGTTGCATGTGGTTTAACTTTCTTTCCCTTTTCTCTGAACAGTGTCCTTCATCCGCTACAGAGTGACGGACGTCTCCAGTGTGTCTCCAGCCTTTGTGGTGGTAAGAGATGCAGGCCGGTGGTTACTGAACAGTAGTTACTACTATTGTCGTACCATGCACTGAATGCCAAGATGCTTTTGGAGAAACTGATGCTACAGACTGTTTGTATTTAACATCTTCTCAACACCCACCAATCCACTGTCATACAGTTTATATATTGAGATGCATTAAAACTGTTGTTAGTCTGTGATTGCTAGAGATACGTGATCAGTTTCTTGTGTATTTATTTCACAGATGAATTTTGACCGAGAGGGAAATGTCACATCATTTGGTAAGTGTTAGAAAATAAATCTAATTCGTCTTTGATTAACTTGCCTGCCTATTATTACCTGTTTTGAACTCAAACAATATAAGAAACAAAAGTATTCTCTCATGACTATATTCTAACACCCTTCCTCTGCTCCTCTTCTTTCCTGTTCTCTGTCAGAGAAGAAGAAAACGGAGCTTTGCCAGGAGCTGAGTCTGCAGGCCAGAGACCTTCGCTTTCAGCACAGTACCAGCTTAATCGCTAGAAACAACTGCATCATCATACGGATGGCGGTATGCTCACTTCCTGTTTTATCGTCTTTGATCGGGCTGTTGATTCCGAAATATTTTGTCACCATAAGTCAAATTTTTATTTCATGGCCAGCAATATGCTGATAGTTCTGCAGAAAACAAAATATTAATTTAATAATAATAACAACAACAATATATATATTTTTTAAAGATAAGTTTTGAGAAGTGATTTAGTAGATGTCACTGATTCTTCAAGCCTCAGACCCTCAGGCAGGGAGTTCCAGAGCTGAAGGGCCTTGACCGCCAAGACCTGGTCCCCTTAAGTCTTGAGCTGGATCTCAGGAACAGCTGCAAAAAACCCTGCCTGAGGATCTGAGGCCACGCCCCTTTTATAGGGGAGCAGCAGTTCAGCAAGTAGCTCGGCACTAAACCATGAAATGCTTCAAAAGGGATCAGACCATGTTAAAATCAATGGTAAACATTGAAGAGAGGCTAACACATCGAAATCAACTTCTCCTGCTGATGGAGACCTCATGACATCAAACACTCCTTCTTCCACAATTCTTTGGCCCGCACCTCAGTCGACGGTCCTCCAGAGGGCGTGCTGGAGAAGGTGTAGTAGAAGAAGAAAGAGTCTTTACGACTCATCAGTTCACAGAATCCATTAGTTTCTCCTGGTTGAGGCCCATCATCTTTGGCCCCCACCACGGTCACGGTGAGGTAGTCACACTCATAGTCACACTTGATAGTTTGTGTACTACTGTGTAGTTTAGTGGCATTGTGATACTCATAGTAACAGGAAGAAATATATGATTTTGCTCTGTTCATGAACGAACTTCCATTTTAACAGAAATTAGTTTTGAAATCAGAAATATAAAAACAGTAAGTGTCTGTGGCAGAATACAGTAACTGTACATTTAAATAGTAATTTAAAGAGTTCCTTTCTTTAGGTGACTTTATTAAAATAGTTTTGAAGGGGGAGGTTCAGAAAAGGACTTCATCATTTTAGACATTTTTTATGCAGCAAGCAGGAGTTGTGATGTAACAGAAATTTATAACTTAATTTTATTTGTTTCATTCCATAACACCGTGTATTTGCTGGCTACGTCCCAAATATATGTAGACCCCTCATGTAAATCATGGTACTTGTATCTTACTTGAGTATTTCCCATTTCATGCAACTTAATACTTGTAATCCACCACATTTTTGTACTTTTTGTACAAAAGTTACTTATCTGATTGCAATTGTGCATACGCTGTCTATCAGTGAAAGCCGGTCTGTCTCTGCCCGACACTCCACACTCTGCTGACAACTGCCCAATCAAAAGGGGGCGTACTCACAGGTCCGGCCTGCGTATGGTCGCTCACATTTACATACTCCGCACTGACACAACCCTTTATCGTCACACAGCTTCTGGTTCTTTGACATACAGGAAGCAGTTTCCATGGTGCAGATGCAGTCTTCACCGGTCCAGTCGTCATCACACCTGCACTGTCCACACTCGCACCGCCCATGGCCTCCACATATTCTGTTCGATAAAAAAAATGGTGTCTTTTTAAATATACATCTGTTTCTGTATTAAGTAGAATCTAAAGGGAAGACGTATCGTACCTGCCGATGTGATAAGGACAGTCAAAGTTGCTGCACTCGCAGTATTGTCCGCTGTATCTTTCTTCCGGGATCATTCTCGCATCGCACACACAGAATCCCTCCTCGCATTGTCCCCTACCGCTGCACACGGGGGCATTCGGGCCTGAGCGACAGGAGTCTTCATTTCGTGAAGGAAATGAGTCGGTGTCTCTCTGGCACTGTTGTCCAGTGTAATGCATGCGGCACTCACACTGGCCACACACCAGAGCCCCGTGGCCTCCGCAGCCAGGGCTGTTTTCCTCACGGTTTCTTGTGCAGTCACACTGACCTGTGCAGACACAGTTTAATCTTTTCTTTTGTTTACGTTGTTTTATTTTTATGTACAAGCTATTTGTCACTTTATAGCAGCACACTGACTATTTAAGTACAATTTGGTAGATGACTCGTGACCTCATTGTTCAAAATGGTGATTTTCTGTTACTGTGTTCTTTTTTTAACCATATATGGACAGTAGCATGCTTCTGAAGTCATACTCACACTCCAGCGTTATCTCTAACTTCACACTCGGTGCAAAGCCTCTGGGTGTGATGTGGACAGGCCAGGGCCCGGTCCTGTTCTGGGTTAAGTCGTCCCTCTCACTGGGACACTGGGCAGCCTCCACGGTCACCTAGAGAAACAAAAAAACAATTCTTTATAAATCTAATCATTTGTATTTCTCAATGTTCGGATGTCTTAATTTTGCTGACCTGTACGACCAGAGGGTTTTCATTCATAATGCTACTGAATGTGATGTTGACTCCGGCTGGCACAGGGCTTGTGTCCATGCTCAGCTCTGTGATAGGCTGGTCTGTAGGCATGGTGATAGTGAGGGGGAAGGACTGGCTCACACCTGGCCTCAAATGGAGGGAGACCTCTCGGGGCTGGAGGGACAGGGCCTTGGCATTCGCTGGTCTGGTGCTGCGGAATAAGAGCATTACCGGAGAAGTCATTGTGGTCGAAGTCATCGTGGTCTTGCCTAGTGTAAAGAGTTTTGCAGTGCTTCTTAAAACCTGTGTACTTACCTGCTGTAATTTTTGACAACCTGCACCCTGCCCTGAGGGTTATACATGTCACTTTGACGACAGCCCGCTCGCCGCAGCCCCTTCAACGTATGACAGCGGGTGTTCGAGTGAGGGCCGGTGCACCAAGCACACGCCGGGCCAGACTGAATGCACTCGTCGCAGTTGTTGGCAGATGTGAGACACTGTTGTTGTTGTTCTTCTGCCCAGCTGGGACACAACGCAACAAGCAGCAGGCAGAGATATCCGAGCAGCTTCACAGACATCCTGCAGTTAGAATAAAGCAGGGAGATGTAGCTGAAAGTAGTAATTTACTGTATGTCATCCATAAATAGGTATTAGAAATATAATGAAGGAATAAAGAAAAAATAATACAGTTGTATATGTTTAATAGGGACACTTTTAGTAGTTAAATTACTAAAAATGTATTTGTATATCTGTTAAAGTAGATGTAAAGTAGGCTTTATACCCAAAGACGAACAAAAAAGCTAACTTTAGCAGGACTGTAATTAATAATTAACTGATGTAACAAGAGGCTGATTTACTGAGCTTATTCCTGTATTTTGCCCCTTTATCCAACAGCGTGATTCATGTTTCTCTAGTCCTGCAGTTGATAATGTGCTGAATAGATTATAAAACAGAGCGCAGTGTTGGTACGTTACCTGGCGTACTGAATGACTTCTCTACTGTAGCCGCGTCTTGGAGCACGTCTTGCACACTGTGACAGACTGACGAGCTTCGGTCATATATTGACTCGCTGTGAATGCTGCTGGATGCAGATTCTGGTCACTCGTCCTGATTGGTGCGGCTGCTATGAGTATCTAACTGTCTCTGGAGAACAAACGCAGAAGTGCTTTGCTCGTACATCAGAGTTTTTCAGGTCAATCACTGCAAATACTTAAAAGATCAGAGTCCACTATTGGGACTGCAGTCGTCCACATGCACCGTGTATGCACACACTGAGCACAGACACATTAACATGAAATGTCATGGAGGTAAAAACTATATAAAGCCAATGCTTCAGTTGCTACAAAACATGAAAGTATGAAGTATTTGCATGCACATGTTTGATTGTTTTCTAAAGAGGCTAACCCCCCCCACCCGGTCCTTCTGTTCCTCCACAGTCTTTGAAAGCCATCGTGACCCCGCAGTCCCTGTTGGTGTTGGATTTCCGTGGTTTGGGACTGGAGCGTTGGTTGGTACTGGATCTGGCCCCTCAGCTCGCAGCACAGTCGCACTCTTTGCCCTTCGAGTTCAGAGCACTGGAGGCCATCCTGCAGCACAAGGTGAGACAGGCCGTGTCTCTGTATGTAGGCATGTTCTAACCCATGTTCTGCCTGTGGAATGAGTGCATACACGAGGCTGCGTTCCACTGTGTGTCCTCATGCGTTTGTCCCGATAGGTAAACACGCTACGAGCTCGGCTGAACGATGTCGAACCAGTCATGTTGGACACATTGGAATCCCTGGTGGATCCTAAAATCCTTTCCGCCGATAGAAGTAAATTACATGTACTGCTGCAGAACAGCAAGAGGTAAAGCACGCAACCGCATACGTTGCCCTGATATCAGCATCAAGGTTGCAATGCATTTCTAAATTGGGGATGTGAGGAACTGGGTCAGCCTCTCTGGGACTCTACTGGTTTTCACCAGTCAATCAAAAAAAGCCCCAAAAAAAACCTGTTAATGATTACTTTTAATAAGCTTCAATAATCATTCGTGGCATGGCCCAAAAGTCAGGTCTCACACTATTAACACTATCACCCTGTCTAGCATCTCCGCGTTTATTTTCTCTCAAAATGTCTACTGTATTATGTTTTGTCTGTCTCCCCCCTTGACTTTTGTACCTCTAACAGTTTATCCGAGTTGGAGACTGACATTAAAGTCTTTAAGGATACCCTGCTGAAGATTTTGGATGAGGACGAGATCGTTGAAGAACTCTGTCTCACCAAGTGGACAGACCCAAGAGTTTTGTAAGTTACGCACTCACAAACACTTCTATGAATGCTGAAAGGCAGTTCTCTTAAAATCTCTAGTGGCTGCAGTAAAAGATAAGAAAGGAAAATACTTTTTTGATCCTCAAGGTGTCTAAGTCTGTTTTTTCTCGCCTCAAACAGTGTTTTTCTGTTCCATTGTCCTCATTGGTTGGGGTTAGGACTTTGGTTTGGTTACGGTCAGGAGTGGCAGATATAACTGGTTGGGGTTAGTTAAAGGTTTGGGTTCAGGTTCACACTCACGTTTTGTTTTAGCTGTATGTGTATAAATGCAAATTAACCTATTTTTTCCCCTTCAAATACACTACTTTCTGATCTTATTGAAACCCAATATGTAAAAAAACAATGCGAGTTATAACCTTTCCCTTTGCCAAAAATATAGACTTAAACATGTAATGATGATGGTGCCTATAAAGCATTGATATTACACCAATTAAGGAAATATTTCATGCTTTTTATATTTACCAGATAGTGCTCCCTGTAATAAAGCAAAATTATTTTAAGGTGTGCTTGAAGAAACATTTTTGAAATAGCTGGTGACCATCACCTCGACATGTGACCCGCTGAAGTGGATTTACTCTCACATAGTTCTTTAATGTTGAAAGAGCCCCGCGAGTCCAGTCCAATGGCACTTTGCTGTGGCTGAAAACGGTATTCCATCTCATTTCATATGTAGATATGCAGAGCGATTAAAACATGTAAATAAATCCCCACACTTATTTGAATAACTACCAGGCAGTCTTTTAGTTATGTGTGTTAACCTACAATGCCCATCTTTGCCTTCACAGTGAGGAGAGCAGTTTGGGTATCGACCATGCTGAGGAGATGGAACTGTTGTTGGAGAATTACTATATGCAGGTAATTGAATATTTAATGTAAAAATAGTTCTCTTTTCCATCCGTTATATGAAATAATGAACATTAAAATAATAAACTCACTATAATGCACGCTCAGTAATGAAATAATCAAACTTAATATTCACTTTTTGAATAATCTGAACTGTCCTAACGTTTGTGCTTGTGGCGTTGAGACTTTTTACTCTTTTGATATCAAAAAGCACAGGCACACAATGTTAAAGGTCATCTTCATGTTATGCACAGTGGTGGTTGTTGAGTGTCTACAAACTGCTCAATACAGGCCGAGGAGCTGGGGAACAAGACCAGAGAGCTGAAAGGGCTGATAGACGACTCTGAGAGTGTCATCTTCATCAATCTGGACAGGTACACACACACACACACACACACACACACACACACACACGCACGCACACACGTTTTCTTACCGTTTGCAGTATTTTGTTGGAAACTGCTTTGATAATAATAAATAATATTGGAACTTACAATGTCTACAGATAAAATCTCTTGTTTCACACATTTTTGCACAAAACAAAATGTTGCGCTGTGTATTTTATCCCTTATCTCTGACATAAACGGCATGTTAGGAAGTGATCTTTTCGTTGCCGGTATGAACATGAAGAATGATTCCGAAAATAAAAAAAACTGTCACAGCGTGCATAAGGGCACCTGACTATTGTTTTGAGACAGACATGAAACATTGTGATCCTTTAAAACTCTAAGCTGACCCCTTGAAGACACATTTTTAGTCCACTTGAATGAATGCTGGCTCTACATGTGCCGTCTGTTTATTCCAGCCATCGTAACGTGATGATGCGCCTGAGTCTGCAACTGGCGATGGGTTCCTTCTCCCTTTCCTTATTCGGTCTGATAGGGGTGGCCTTTGGAATGAATCTGGAGTCGTCCTTCGAAGAAGTGAGGCAGCTTCTTGCTAAAGAATGAAATCACATCTGGACTTTGTTTTCCATTTACAACAACTCAAATAAGACGTTTTGACTCGCCTGTCTTAACTTCATATCGTTGTTAGCTTTTGTGTTTTGGACTGTTCATGACCATTGTGTTCCATGTGTCTGTATGTGCACACGGCACCTTTTGTGTGTTTGTACCCACGTATACTCACACTGTTTGTGTTTATTACCAGGACCCTCGCATTTTCTGGCTGGTAACAGGCTTCATGTTCTTGGGCAGCGGGCTGATATGGAGACGACTGCTGTCATTTCTGGGACGACATCTAGAGCCTTCAGTACCCCCTCTTGTAAATCTCTCTCACACACACACACACGTGCGCCAGATGAAGGTGTGGTTTAAGATCAAGTCTTAAGTGTCATTTCTCCTGTTTGTGATACAGATCCCTCAAGTTTGGAAGAGAAGTCTGAAAGCATCCGACATCAAGACAGGAGTCAGATGATGTTCTCCCTCCAGTCTGTAAAATGCAACAGACCTCCGACAGACTCTGCAGCTTTAGGGATGATTGTTTTATCACCCTGGACCTCCTGAATTCTATAAAACAGCCTCATTGTTTTAGGCCTTTTAGACCTCTTCTGTTTCCCCTACATTTCTGGTACTATGTTGCCAGTATTCCAGGTACTTGATTAGATGTCTTCATGTCTAATTATATGAGTATTGCTCTGTCATCTGTGGTTTTAGAGCAGTGCGTGGATGCCTTGGTGAGTGGCAGCATTGGAACTGAAACGGATAACAACCCAACTACTGATAACCACCGGACATGCACTTGATAATCTCATATCTGCTGAGATTGTCAACATAACGGATGAAAAGCAGCGACACACGGGTCACATTTTCAGGCACAAGGTCTGAGCAGCCTGTATGTCTTTAAAAAAAACATATTGCCAGTTTTGATTTGATATCGTGTCTCACTTTGTGACTGTGAGAGTCTCCAAATGACATTTGATCAAAAATGAAAGGGTGTGAACTCACGGGGAACTTTAAAGTTATTGACTTTATCCTGTTCCGATTTACATGAAAGCTGTTAGTCAAGGTGTTAAAGGCTGAAGCGCATTACACACATTGATAGCACGTAACTTATTTCTGACCTGGGATTCAAGATCCATTCGAGAAGTCGGCAAATACTTCAGAGTGCTCTTGAGAAGATTAGCCGGGCAGGGGAGCAGAATAAGCATATCTCAATGTTCCTGTCATCTTAGTTTATGAGAAAAAAACTATTTTATTTTGTCTGAAGTGGTCGAAGCTGATTTTGCTTCATTGTCGGGGGTCACAAGTCTAAAATGTTGGAAAGCACATCCTAATAGTGCTTGTTTTAATAACAAACCCGGCTAAATCCTTCCCCTTTTGACTTGTGCATCTGCATTATATTCGATGCAGAAAACATATTCGGCGTTCTTGGAATTTGTCACTTTTCTTAACCGCATTGACTCACAGTTGATCTAATTTGGCTTTTCTGACATGGAAAACAACAACTCTTCAATGCCAAACTCGAATTACAAAAAATACAAATATAACATAGTAACTTTGCAGCAGTTAAATCTTTGACATTAATGTCTAGAAGTGTCAAAAATCCTAAAGTTTTAATATAATAAATGATTTTAATCACTGTAGTGGGACACGTGAACATGTCTTTTCTTACTATATATTTATTGCGAGATGTGGACTTTTTGATGCAGAGTGTAACTGAAATAATGAAGTTAGTGGATGACTTCAAAGACAGCAAAGCAAAGGGACATTTTCTTATTTATTTATTTATTTATATATATATATATATATATATGTATATATATATGT